AGCAGGAACCTGCAGCTTTGTGGCCCACTGAGTGACAAGCTCTGCAGTAGGAATGAAGTGACCTGAAAGCAGAAACAGGTGGGATGTAGAGAAGCTAGGAGAAGACAAGGCTGGTCACAGTGTGAGACACCAAGCGTTATATGAGACAGAAAAGTACATGTATTAAAAGGCTAAAGCACAAAAATGCAGGGAAATTATTCTTTGTTATTTGATACTTGAATAACAAGAAGAAAAGTGCAAAAAGAAAAATCCTGTTGAGTGTAGTCATGAATAAATCTGGATTTCTAGGTTATTTATAAAAGAAGTTGTTGGAAAACACAGAAAAGGAAACACTCCTGTGGTTGTACAAGATTTTCTTTATTTGTCATGTTGCAACTTGGATACCTGCCAGTTAACAGTGGGAGCAGCATGTTGAAATTGTTTTGTATCTGAAACTATAACTATGTCTTTAGGAAATAACCAAAGGAAAACCAAAAATGTCTCACTCGGGTAGATGTATTCTTAAATTGTTTCCATCTGAAAAGACGTCAATATGAGCGTCACTTTCTCTGAAGCATGTCTCTCTTCTGTGCAGAAGACAGGAGGAAAGTACCGACAGTGAAGAAGGGAGTGTTTGTCCTAGGAAATGGATCGCTGTTATCTGGCCATGATTTTTTTTTTTTAAATGAATGTTATTCTAGGGAAAATCCTCATCAGAAATGGGTGTAACAGAAATTCAAACACAGATCGCAGATGTTAACTTCATATTCTACAGAACACACAGTAGATCTTAGGGACATTTTTTAACCATAACAGTGCATCTGCTATCAACCTGTCAAAAAAGCACTTTCCTTTAAGTCAAATCCAGATAAACTCTGTAAAAATGTCCACTTTTTTTTGCCATGGCATCAAGAGTAAATACTTGAGCTTAGTCTGTCTGAAATCTCGATAGGCCTTCATATCCTTCTCTGGTGAATAAACATGTGGATGTCATCAGATTAATCAGTAGCACTTCTCAAGATGAGGAGGAGGAGAAGAAAGATACAAGGACCTTTGGGGGAGGAGGCTGGCATGTAGCCTCAGATGGTCGATGGGTCTTTGAAGAAACATTTAACAACATCCTCCCCTGTGTAGTTTGTAAGGATGTGTGCACCTGACATTACTAACACTGTGGGGACTGAAGTTTGAGTAGTTAAGCTTAGAGTAAGTCTCCAAGGAATGCATGCAAGTCAGTGTAAAGTCCTCATGAGCAATGAAAACAAATGTGTGTGTGTGTCTGTGTGATAAGGCACAGCTGTGTTATGTGCCATTTTATCAGGGAGACCTCTCCTCCCTCGATCAGCTGTTCTCGCTGTGTAAAATAAATCCAAATTCTACAGTAATGGTTTGAATGCAGGAGGTTTTCAGTCACTGATAAGTGTTTAACAAAAAAAAGCCAATACATTTCAATGTTAACCATTTATCATGACTTTGGACTCCTTCAATGAGATAAAAACTGAAAAAAATAACAGTCAAATATGTGTTTTCATATAAAGATACAACATAGAACCTGAACCTACACATTACTCTCAGTCAATATGTTTGATGACACTATGTTAGTCAATTGTCATGAAGGGGTTTCAACTTATGTTGACGTCATACAGGGTCAGATGTTCACAGTAAGCATGGACTGGCAGAGGAAGTAGAGACAGGAGGCATGTGTGCTCAACTTCCTGTCTGAGGGCTTAATTGTTGCGTGCCTGTGAGAGTGGTGGAGGGTCTTTTTCCCTTCTCTTTAGGTCATTTTCTGTTTTATTTGACATCCCCCTTTCCATCTCCACCATTTTTTATGTTACACTGTTGACATGTGATTCATATCTGCACTTCCAGGCTATCAAGTAAGAGGGTAGGATAGATAGAGAAAGCCCAGTGGGAAACATAGAGGACCCCAGATATAGACATAGCAATGCCTGTGGCCATGAATATACTGCAGCTTATCAAACATCACAGCACACTCACTGGGGGGTGATAAGAGTGGTGCATTTGTGTGGCGCTAGGGTGGGGGGTCCGGCATTCATAAACACTGAGACAGGTTTCCTTAAAAGATGAAGTTGGGATTTGACAGGTCAGAGTAAACAATGTTATTTGTGACACCAGTGAGCAAAAACTGTGTGTGTGTGTGGCTTTATGGCTGCATAAAACATGGAGCACACTAGCTTCCCGGCACCAGTGTCACTTGTGGGGACCAGAAACCGGTCCTTGATATTTACAGTATTAGTGTTGTAGGACATTTATTTGTATTTTTAGTGTGAGTGGGATGCAGAGCTGCAGTAGGAGTATGTGTTTCAGTGTGTCTGCTCTCTGTATTCCTTAAATGAAAATCATGGCTGCATCCTGTGTTGGCTTCAGCTTGTACTGTAATTGTGGTTACTCAAGCAGCAAGAGAAGGGGGCAATCAGAAAGGAAACTGCACAAAATAGAAATGTTGATGTATTTACAACAGCCTCAAAACCCTTACTCCACTATGGTAAACATTCAGGTTTGGAGACCATCAGCATGCATGACCTCTTTCTTGTGATGGCTTTCCATTTTATTTCTTTGCTGTGTCTCTGGTGAATCT